TCAAGAAGACGAAACACAACAAAACCCTGTCAGGCAAATTCTTTCATTATTCAATAGACTCACTGAACAATTAAAAGAAGGGGGGTAGGGAGAGGCTCCCCCCACCATTGACAGCTTCCAAGCACGATTTAATTGGACTAAAGTGGAAAGAAGTTTACACTCCCCATCTATGCAGGAGATTGTTAATTAAAACAAAGAGCAGCAAAGAACTGAGTAAATTTTGAACAGCATGCTTAAACTTCATTCTTACGGCTAATGAGATTAACAGTCACATGCCCCCAAACTTTTTCCCTTGAAATCTCTTGTGCAATGCTTTGGAAACCTCAACAAAACTTGACTCAGTTCAATCAATCATCAGCCTGGCTTGGAACTAATTCCCATCATCACACAAAGCACAAAAACCTCCAGTACAACATGAAGAGACAAATGTCAGTTTCCTTAAAAACAGGATATATTTACTGTAAAGCCCATCCCTTCAAATCTTTATAGACTTACTTCTTCAAGGTTCTTTGTTTTAATTAAATCTCTGACAAAGACACAAGTAAAACACATTCCAGTATTTTCCTAAGTGAGGCATGACTTTCAGAAAACTCAGCTGCCTCATTTCTAAAATAGCCTGGTCTATAGAAAATGGTTGTTGAATATGTCTCCCTCTCCCAAACACAGTACATATAATATTACTTTGGGCAAATTTTCCAAAGCATCTTACTGGGCATTTTTCAAAGATCTGAGCAGCAAATGCTTGTTTTCTTCCCTTCAATGATGAAGTACCAGCACACAAAAGCAAAGACTTAAACCCTACATAAATATTGGCTGCATTAAGTCCTTGCCCAAAGGACTTATACACAGCATCAGAAAGCAGCTGCTCCCCCTCAGTCCTGCTTCATAGAGTTTTTGCTTTCAGTCAGTATTCATACTGGGTGTAAATGTGGCAAAGATGAGCACCAGTGGCTCTTCAGCTGTACGTGGCTCCCACAATAAGGGGGCAGTGACACAGGAATACAGTCATCCCATGGAAAGTGTACCTGAAGAGCTCTCTCTTCTCTAATCTGTGAAATACTCATAGAGTGTTTCCTCCCACTCCTCAGTTCTCCAAAACAAACATCCTGCATTTTTCTTTTGAATATAAAGGTAAGACAATTTTTATATGAACCTGTGCAGTCACAGCATGTAGTCATCATTACTACACATGATCTCGCATCAGTCCTGCAAGCAAACGTTTCCTTTAATGCCCCACATCTACACTCACAGCCCCTCAGGGTATTGGTATTGGTATTATTACAGTGTTTTTCCTGTCAGAAGAGGATTACGCAGGAACAGGGTGGGAGGGCTCTGAAAGGAATGGTCTGTTTGGCAATGAAGCTACTTTCCTTGTTCTACACTGTCCTGCCCTGAAAGATAAAGTCATGACAATAATTTGATATCTTTGCTCTCCTCCTCTGACACTTGGCAAGATTTTCAAAAGCACCTCAGATCTTGCAGCTTCCACAGAAGTCAGAGCTATGCTGAATGTCTCAAAAAAGCAAACCATTACTAGTCAGATAGGATTCCAGATGTACAGTAGCAATTAACAAAGGAAATTTTATACTTGTTGATTTAAATACAACTTTGGAATACATGCAGTCCTTGCTATGTATCAATTGTTTCTGTCTCTTCTCAAATTTGACTAATTTTACAGCAACAGAATTGACAGAGAAAAGTCAAAACTAAAGGCAGACATCATCAAAAGTATTTTTTCTGCATCACTATAGTTCATAAAATAAAATCAAAAATATAAACCAGGAAATTAAATATTGAAGTATAAAAATAACCCATAACTTCTAAGCCAGATAAAATATGCCTTACCACATTGCTTATTAATAGTGGTATAAGAAGATAAAATCCAAAACCTCAGACTGTTTTTATCCTTCAATAACATAGCATTACAGGTGTCAGAGGGGCACCTTATAAAGTGATGCTTTTCCTTCCCACCTGTCCCAGATCAGTAGCAAAATGTAACTTATTAAAATCCATTCTTTAATTTGCATGTATCTCTATATATATGTGGGACAACGCAATGTGAGGTTTAACAAGCTGCTTTCACTTATGTATAAAATATCTATTAAAGCATGAACGATGTGAGCAGAGGAACGTACCTTTTGCATTAAAAATAAATAAACTGGAAACCAAGTCCAACCCCAAACCTCTTCCTATTTCCAGTAACCGTGCTACAAACCCATCCCAAATCCAACCCCTCCCACGTTTACAATGCCCTCCACCACTGGAGGGCCCTCTAAGGCAAATAGTCCCTTTAACCTTTTCTCAAAGGGATGCAAATGGTTCAAACCCCAAGGAAAACAAATTTAACTTGCCTCTTTCTCCTCGTTCGCAAAGACTTTTACTAGACCTAAGCTGTTGGTTAGAAAAGTTTTGCTCTATAGAGATTTTCAGCTGGCAGCCCTGCAAGATGCACAACCCCACTTAGATTTTTCCTTGCCATACATCACACAATAGCTATGCTCCTTTTTTTGATAAAAAAATACTCTTTCTTGCCAATTCATGACAATACTCTTGTCAGGCCAAGACAATGCTTTACACAACTGCAAATAACTTTGCATCGGTATAAGTGCAACAATCCAGCATTTCTTCAGGCAAACATCCACATGTATAGGTCAGTGCCAGAGAAAATCCTTCCTGTTCTACAACTTCTAGTGTTGCAGACTCACATTAAAATGTCCCAATTATTTTCTGCACTCCATCAAATTTCTCTAATATAGCAAATCTATGAACTACCTTGAGCCGTCCTATCCCAGCATCTGCAGAAAACACAAGCAAAATAAACAACTCTGCAAGGAATGCAGGGCACTAAATGCATCCTCAATAGGTAACAATTTAAGCCTTATAATACACCACCATGTATTACACTCTAAGGAGGATTCAGATCCCCCAAAAAATAACCAAAAAAGAAGAAAAAAAAACCACCAAAATTTTGCTGTGGCATGGACAAAAGGCTCCAGGTCTTCTAAATACTTGTAAGCAATCTGATCCTGGTGATGCACCAGGTGTCAGTTTCAAAACCAGCTCAAAGTCAGACCCTACACCTGGGTCAAACACTGCCATAGGAGTGAAGGAGGCTGCAGGTAGGTGACACTACTGCTGCCTACTGAGCTGCTCTGAAGCCCACCTGAGCTTCAAAGGAATTTCCAGGACAGCAACCCCTGATTGTGCTGCTGGAGCAGCACAATCAGGTGGCAGATGAGAAGCTATTTAGATGATCCAGCTTTGTGCTACCAGAAAGGGGAATGAACACAGGGAACACCAAACAGTCATCCAGAGCCTACACTAACACCTTACCCCCACACTCTGCTCACCTCAGATTGCAATCTGACTTTTTTTCCCCAGACAATACAACTACTTGAAATTTGCCATTTCTGACAACACACCTATTTCTGTCACAGTTCCTGTGAGCCCCTCTCCTATTCTCTGCAGCAGCAGCACAGAGTATCTGTAATTATGCACATAAATAAATCCAGAACATTTCACTAAGATCAGGAGCACTTTGACAGACTCACAGCCAGGATTTGAATTAGAAGTTCCAAGACTGAAAGAAAGATGTCATATAAAATTAGAGAACTTCTGTCTTAGTTCATAACAGCATTACATTGCAGACAAGACATCTTCATTTTTTCGAGACTGAATTTTCATCTGTTACTGTTAGCACCTTACTTATATTAGGAGGGCAGGGTAAGGGCATGGCAAAAAGGCAACACAGAACAGGGACTTAACACCCCCCTTCCCTAGAATGAAGAATGAAAAAAAGGCATCATCATATGGCAAACACATCCAGACAGATTCTTCCTATGTTCTTCCATCCTAAAAACATCGTACAACCTCCGTGGAGATCTGAGTTTATAAATTTTCTCTGGATATTTGCATAAAATCCAACCAACACTGTTTGTGTGCATAGGCCATACTGTAATACTCCTCATCCATTGGGACTGCAATCCCTTCCCTATAACCAGGAGGCCAATCTTTCCTCCAGAGCTGCAATGGATATTGCTGTTTAGCCCCTCTGCACAGAGGTCAAAGCCTTTGCTTTGCCCTTGCAGCGCCTGAGGCTGACTCACTGCTCCATCTGCTGAGACTCAGCACACTCGCCTGTTCCTGGGCTGCCAGGCAGCACTCCTGCAGCCAAACACTGCCTCTCACTCCCTGCACTCCACAGGTCATGGCAGGAGCCTTCTGACACCCTGGCAAAAAGCATGTCCCAGAGAATAGCAAAGAGCAGCATGAATTTGGCTGCAAGAGTGAGGACTGTGCTGCTAGTCTTTCAAAGCCAGAGCAATAAGGAAAGAGTATCCAAGCCAGCTGCCCAATATTGAAGCATCAGTGAAGAAACCCAGCACAGCAGAGGATCCAGCTGCAAGCATGCCAGAAGTACTGACACTTCAGGTGCACTTGGTTTGTGTTGTTCAGCTGCAACATGGAATGCCCAAAATGCAATTACTTGCAAAGTATTTAGATGAAAGGCAATTTTACAAAGCCTCAAGTCAAAGCCCCAAGGCACTTAGGCCTAGCAATGCACAGCAACAAAAGCCTAATCATTCTCACAGTTCTGGATTTAACTGACCTGGCTAAAGCTAGGCTTGTAGCAATACCAGGGAAAAAAACCTGGAATCCCTCATTTCCTGGGTTTAAGAGTAGATTCAGCTTCTTCTCACAACAGCAGACCTAGCAGAAATTCAATGTTCTGTGTTTGGTTTTCTTAATCTGAAGAACATTTTATCTATTACCCTTTGCAGCATCTATTCACATTTAAATGAATTCTTTACTGTTTGTTTTTCCTCTTTCAAGTTTTGTTTGACATTATTAAAAGTAATGGTCACATTTGTTAAAACATGCAGTAACTGTCCAATCCTGGTACTGAAAAAATATCTGCTGCCTTTGTTAAGTAGAAGGCTAACATAATTAAACTGCCTATTATTGCATTCATCAATTAAAAAGCAAAACAGTGCAATAAATTCAGAAAATAACTTTTTTCACACTGAACAAGATGCTCAAAATAGTAGCACATAGATTATTCTACAGATCCCTTTTCAAACAGCTGAAAGAAATCCAGGGAAGTTCTATTTGCACCTATTTTATTTCCAAAGTTCCAGAGCAGAGAGGCACCCTGGTCTCCTCCAGGGAGACCTGGAGGTCTTCCTCCTTCCTTAGGAAGACAGAGTCACTATCTTTCCAACAACCTTCCTAATGCATCCATTTAAAGACTCATGCAGACTTTGTCATGCCTTTCTAAGCAATACATAACTGAAAGTACTGTGTGCAGAGGAGCCCTGTGATGAGCTATTTAATCTCAGCTCTGCACAAACCCAGAGCACCACAGAGGTGCAGTACCCTGGTATTGCATCAAAACCTCAAGAGAAACAGGCTAAGGGGGAGATGCAGGGCCAATTAAAAACCTTTAGCATTTTAATATCAGTGTAATTAGATAGCATTAGATGACTGAAGTATAGTATTAATCTTGTCTTGTTCATGTCTTAATGCTTTGGCTGTCATTAATATTTATACAGAAAAACTCACAAAATATACTCTGCTGTCTTCTCTCTTATACATTATTATGCATTTAAAAAATCATCAACACAAAAGTTTGAAATTTAATTTATAAAAAAAGGTTCACAAAGGTTGTTTAAATGGCATGTCCATTTCAGAGCAGCCCAGATTTGATACAAAAGGAGGATGAGACCCAGGGTTCAGTCATGCACAGTCTACACTGAAGGATGTGCATGCAGTGAACCTATAGGGTCTTTTGAAAATTCATTTCAACCGATTGTTTACTCCAAACTCCAACATGGAGTTAAGCATTGACTGCACTGCTTGTCAGAAACAAGCAGCTTAAGAATAACATCGAATCATGGCTCAGTTAGTAAAGTTTACATATTCTGAGCAGTCTTCAGCTCTTCACCTGGGGCTACACTTTCCTCATGCGTCCATGAACAGTCATTAAGTGTAAAAATAATTGTCATTTGTAGCTTCAAGTTCTTTATAAAAAGATTTTCAGGGTCCTTTAGAAAAAATTTTCATGGTTCTTTGCTTCTGCAGATGACATGATGAGAAAATGAGGAGATACTCATGGCTCCATTTTTAATGTCCTCTTCCTATTTTAAGAGAAAAGAAAAATACATCAAACAATTCTTATCTTACTTGCGTTTAAAGCAAATTCTATACATAACATTGAATGAGTTGATAAAATAAAATGCAAAAAACTAACATGGTTTTATACATGCATCAATAAATGCAGAGTACTGTGCTTCAGTTTAAACTACCAGGATGCAAAGAAATCTCTTGCACAGAACTATAAACATCTATAAGACATTAAAAATCACAACATTCTATTTAATATTTACAAGCTCTAAATTATTTTAATATTTACAAGCATTTTTAGGAGCAATTCTTATTACTGAAAGGTAAAAACCACACACTCACCCCGAAAGCCTCCTCCACCACCTCTTCCTCCTCTGAATCCTCCTCCTCCACCTCTACCTCCTCTGAATCCTCCTCCTCTTCCTCCACCTCTGCCTCCTCCGAATCCTCCTAAACAAAAGAAATAACCCTTTGAGGAGCACGTAAATTCTTGGTTACGTGCAACAATTTATTTCAATGACAGCTACTGAAATGAAACGAACAACAACAAAAAAAAAAATCCACAAACTGTCAACTGCCAGACAGTTACCAGGTCAATTACTACTACCCTGTTTCTTCTAGGGACCATTTGGAGCATTTTAGGTATTGCTTAATATCTGATATACCATGTCCAAAATACTAAAGAGACTTAACAATTGACTTATTTCACAAAAGCAAAAAAATAAATTACATATATTAACCAGTAATACATTACAACAATTAGTAATTATTATCTATTAATTACAACATTAAACCAAACCAACCAAACCCCTCTGAAACACTCATGCCTTGCTGCAAAGGGGCAGGGTATGGAAAAGAGACAAGAAACTCTGATGTAAGAAGAGATAAACTTCAGCTTTAACCGAAGACTACATCACAGGTGATGCTCAAAAAGCTGTCTTTGTTATAAATCAGCATTCTCTCCTCCCTAGGCTTTGGAGCTGTTATTTAGCCAGTCTTGCCACCTGAAAGGTATCACTGCTTTTTCTATAGTCATGCAGAAACATTTTTATTTGCAATATATCTGTTGATATTCAAGTTCTCACCAGAAGCTTTCGAAAACAAAACACAAATACTCCACAGAACAAATGACCAAAGCAAACCACAGCATCTCAAATAACTCCAACATTCTGCAGCTTTCATTCTTGTGATCTTACCTCTACCACCGCCTCTTCCTCCCCCACGTCCACCACCACGTCCTCCTCTACCACCTCCTCTGGGAGCACCTTTTTCTCCAGGGGGCCTTGGCAAAAATCTCTGAAGAGGTAGCAGCTTTGCTGGATCAATGTAAAACTGCAGGAAGAGAATTCCATTAGGCTTTCAAAACACCAAGACTAAGAAGCACATTAATATCTCTCTTTACAAATATCCACAATTTGGTCTTATCCCATTATGTCAAACTATTCTCTGCAAAAAGCCAAATAGAGAAAGCACACAAGAAGTAAACCCCAGAATTAAAAAGCTGCTAAAATATAGATGATATTTGTGTGATTTTATTGCATCTCTTCTCATGGGGCAGGGAGAAGGAATAATGTGGCAAACACAAAACTAGAAAGGATGAGGAACTTAATTCCTACGCTTACATAGGACAAGCTGCTTTTAAAGTTATTAAATACCTAATAAAGCTTTTATTATCTGCTGACAAATTAGACTTAGCTAACTGATGACATTCAGTAAAATTTTGTTATTGAGATTGACTTACCTTTTGCATTTTTTTAAATGAAGAGGCTTTCATGTTCTCAGACAGTTTCACTGAAAAATACTGTTGGTTTCTTTAAGGAGCATTGCAGTAATAAAACACTAAAAACTGTGATTTTGATCAGTATATGAAAGGAACATTCAGATATTTTCTAAGTTAGTATTTCATAAATTCAGCTAAATTTCATCACAATTGCAATTAGAAGTGATTTAAACCTGCACATTTTACTTCACATTTAATGTGGGAGAGGAAAATGCACATAGCTAGTGACTGGTGCTCAACCAACCAACACAGGCTGAGTCCTAACTGACGTGTTACAAGGTTACTCCCCCAGCTATCCTGCTTTTGTCATGGATTCTGTCCACCTGGCAGTGACAACAGAATGCACCCAATGTCTCTGTGTCAGGCTGGCTTTGCCAGAGATGTCCTGGCACATCCCACTTTTATGGGCAGATGTCCTGGTATATCCCACTTTTATGGAAAATGAGCAACAGGACATCTTAGTATAAACTCACTTTGTAATTAAATAATGTGCTGGAGCATGAGCAAGGTCCCCTAATGTACAAAAATCCGCAAGGCCCTTGATCCAACTCTGTTATGGCTTAGTAACCTACAGCAGAAAATTTGGTCAGTTAGGCAGAAAAAGTAACAACTTGAACCACCATGGATCCAAAACACATCATCAGTACTGCTAAAGAGTGAAAATCTCTGGTTGACTTCAAGTATTCAGTCATATCAAAAAAGCTGTAAGATACGCACTTAGTGTGAATGAAGCACCTACAGCTGCAGCAAGCCTCACATACAACCCTGAACTATTTTAAAATCCTAGAGAAATCCCATTTCATATCCAATCAATTTTTAAAAATCAAATATTGTAAGTCACACATTTTTTAAAGGATACAAAGTCTCTCAGCTGTCCAAATATTTCATCCACTTTGCCAATCTGCTCCTTATTATCCAGGTACACTGGGGCATTGAAATAAGGCACCTTGTTTTCTTCTGTTTTACATTTACAAACTATGTCATCTTCACAGGGATGCATGAACTCTCCCAACACTGAAATAAAGAACAAACAAGCTAAAGAGCTGAAGCAGACAATCTAAATAAAATAAATAAAGTTTCTCCATGTAACTTACAAACTACCCTTTCTGGAGGGCCCTGGTCATATCCTCCTCTGTTGAAGCCTCCTCTTCCACCTCCCCGTCCAAAGCCACCTCGACCACCACGGTTAAAGCCACCTCTGTCACCACCACCTCCTCCACGGCTGAAGCCACCTCCTCTTCCTCCTCCACCTCCTCTTCCACGAAAAGACATTCTCTACTGTTTCCTACATTGTGAACAAAAAAATCAGTTGTTTAAGATACAAAAGACGTGTCACATTTGATTTGCTGTACAAATTGTAGTGTCCTGTCAGCCTGGTTTGTTAATTTAATGGTGTGTTGTTTTCAGTCCTCACAAGTGAAAAATCAAGTTTATACTTAAGATGTCATCCACTGCAACAGCCAACTGCAAAAAGTGACTAGCAGTGACCAGCACTTTTTTCACTCATCTGTATAAGGGCTGATGACAGTCCCCAAAAATGGCACAAAGTAAGAACATCACAGAATAGTTCAGGTTGGAAGAAATCCTAAGGGTCACCTACTTCCAACCCCTCTGCTGTGTGCAGTGACACATTCCACAGGCTGCTCAGAGGCCCATCCACCCTGGCCTTGAACACCCCCTGGGATGGGGCACTCACAGCTTCTCTGGGTGACCTGTTCCAGTGCCTCACCACTCTCACAGTATAGAATTTTTTCTTAATATCCCATCTCAACCCACCCTCTTTCAGTTTAAAACTATCTTCTCTTACTCTATCCCTATGTGCCCTTGTACAAAGTCTCTCTCGAGCTCTGCTGTAGCCTTCTTCAGGCACTGGAAGGCTGCTGTAAAATGTTCCTAGAGCCTTCTGTTCTCCAGGCTAAAGAATCCCCACTCTCAGGCCAAGCAGAGAAGGCAGAGAAGAGGTGCTCCAGCCCTGTGACCACCTTCAGGGCTTCCTCTGGAACTCCACGTCTCTTCTGTGCTGGGCACCCTGGAGCTGATGCAGCCCTGCAGGTGGGGTCTCTGCAGAGCAGAGCAGAGCAGAGCAGAGCAGAGCAGAGCAGAGCAGAGGGGCAGAATCCCCTCCCTGTCCCTGCTGCCCACGCTGCTCTGGATGCAGCCCAGGACAGGTTTGGCTCCCTGGGCTGTGAGTCATGACTCCATTGCTGGGCCATGTCCGTCCTGTCACCACCAGCACCCCAAGTCCTCGGCAGGGCTGCTCTCCCTCTGTCCATCCCTCACTGCCCGTGCTGGCACCAGGGGTGGTCCCAGCCCTTCCTCTCGGCCCCGTTAAACCTCGGGAGGCTCCCTCGGGAGGCCGCACTGCCCGGGCGCGCACCCGCAGCGCCTCATAGGGCCCTCGGGATTGTTTATCAGCTCACAGGCGGGGGGACCGCGGCTGCCGGGGCCATTCCCTGGGGGATGACGGACGGACGGACGGACAGACAGACAGACACGGCAGCGGCTCCCGCGCGGGACGTACCTGCACGTGCGCGCCGCCGCCGGAAACACCGCGCTGCCGCAAACGGGGCTGCTGCCGTAAATGAAAGGGCGCTGTCGCAAAGCGGCTCCCGCGCCCGGTAGTTGTCCCGCGCTCCCGAGGGAGCGGCGGGCCAGGGATAGGGGCTGGGCACGGGCACGGAGCCGTGTGGGGGGCACAGTCGCCCTGCAGGGTAACCTGGCGGGCGGGAGCGCCTGCACTCGCCCTGCAGGGTAGCCTGGCGGGCGGGAGCGCCGGCACTCGCCCTGCAGGGTAGCCTGGCGGGCGGGAGCGCCGGCACTCGCCCTGCAGNGCGGGCGGGAGCGCCGGCACTCGCCCTGCAGGGTAGCCTGGCGGGCGGGAGCGCCGGCACTCGCCCTGCAGGGTAGCCTGGCGGGCGGGAGCGCCTGCACTCAGGGCGGCCGGCGCCATGGATCGATCGGACTCCTCTGCGCAAAGAAAAGTGCAACCCCAACAAGCGCTTCCCTTTAATCATTTACTTCAAGGGCTTGGCTTTTGTTACCTCGTCATCCACTTGCGATAAAACCAGTTAAGGCATGATCTTTCGAAGAGATCAGATTTATCGGTTAATAGTTGAGGCTCCTGTACTTTATTTCTAAACACGCTTGAAAATATTTTTCTAATGGTTAAAAATTAAACCCAAATCTAACAGCTGACATTCAAAAGAATCCCAGCCAGAGGAATTTGTCTAGGAAGGGAGATAAAGTTTCATCATGCGAATGCTCCTAATTTGCTTGGTTTTCTTGTGTCTCTTTTGTCTTTGTGGATCAGAGGTAAGATACGTTTTATTGTGTTGGCATAACTTTTTAAAACGTTTAATAAACAGTTTATTGTTACAAAAGCAAAACCAATTTATTTTTTTAAAGTTCCTTTCATGGTATTTGTGCTTCATTCATTTGTTTTAACCCAGCCTGAGTGTTTGAAGTTTGCTATTTCTCTTTAATGTTTTGATTCTACTGGGGCTTATGCTAACAGGTTTGTGGAAAAGATTTTAATCAGGATCCTGTGCCAAATTTGCAAGCATGGCTGACCACAGAAAGGTGCTACAATTTTCCCCACCTCCCTTTTTTGAGAAATGGGATTGCAGTCTTGTAATATGGCAGCATGGTAGTCTCCTATTGCCAGCAGGTTTCCTGCAGATTTTCTCCAGGCAGAACTGTCCAGGAAAGCCAATCTGAGCCTTTCAGAGAAGTTCTGAGATAAAAATCAGCACCTGTTCCCCATGAGGAGGAACACCTCGCACAATATGGGAGTTGTGCCAAGGTGGATCTGGTTCCCAGTTTGGATTCTACTGGCCCAAGAACAGCAGGAAGGATTTAATGAGATTATACAGCCATGAAAAGGAGAGATATTGAATTCTGCCCCAGCTACATCCTCCCTGACTTTACTGTGAGCAGGATTTCATGAGAACTTTAAACTTCAGCTCTATTGATCCAGTTGACACAGCCAAAACTGATAAATCACATTTGAGGACTGTTTTTCTCCCATTTTTACACAGAGGCCATCCATAAATATTTTCCATGTTCAAAGATTCTTCCTACCCACAGACCTTAGTAAGCAAAAGCACTCAGGCAGCACACAGAAGTCAGCAGAGGACTGCACAAACAAGGTGCTGCTCACCCTGAGGGCATCAGAGGGAGGGGCACAATCTGCACCTGCAGTCCAGTGATGGAAGCATCCACATTGCAAACCTTCTGCTGTGCAAGACACAAGAAAAACGCTGATAAGGATGAGCACTTGATTTTCAAATTGCTTTCAGATACTTGAGGTACTTTTTACTTGAACAGTCACGTGGGCTCTGCAAAACAAATCATTATACAGTCATTTGCTAGTAAGTCGTTCATAAATATTTACAGATGATATTTAAATCTAAAGTCAACGAGGCCAATAAAACAAATCTTAGGAGAAAAAACCAAACAAATTGCTATTCTCTTTCTCTGGGGCTTAAATTCCTTTATGCTTTAATCTGCTTGCAGTCCAATTGCTGGGATGTGTTATAAACCAATGCCTTTAAAAATGTTTCTACTCTGCTGTGCACTTCAGCTGATGTTTCAAAAGTAAAGAGTATAAAGTTTGTGGCAGATCAGTAAGAGTGAAGATCACACCAGGTAAATAATCCAAAAAGAAAAAAATAGTTCAGAAAAACTGAGAAGGTTGAGTTGGCAAAAGACAAGGGAACAAACACCATAAATGGTATTTAAGAACTATTGATTACACAGGAAAAGGCTTATAAATGGGCACTTTGCTGAGGTCAGTGAAGGGATGCAAAACTCTTGGTGCAGTCCCTAATCTTGCTTTTATTTAAATTATTTTTTGTGTGCCTTGCAGAATGCAGCATCTAAGGCTGCAGAAAACCACCTTCAACAGGTTAAACCTGCCCAACCAGCTGACCAAGACAACTACCTCATAGAAGAATGCTTGGGCAACCAATACACCCACAAGTCCTGTAGGAAAGTTTTTTGTCACCCATGGGAACGATGTGTGGAGGGAAAATGCCTCTGCAAGCTTCCCTACCAGTGCCCAAAGAATGGCTCTGCAATTTGTTCTGCCAATGGCAAGACCTTCCGTACTTACTGTCAGCTGAAGAGCTATGAGTGTCAGCAACCCAAAGCAAAGTTTCTGCACAAGGGAACATGCAAGCCTGAAGGTATTCACACCTCCTTTTCCGAAATTTATCCATCAGGGGTGGCTGAGGAGATGCTTGCCCTATTTACAGAAAGTCTGTTCATTTTCTCACACTAGTAATAACATGAAACAAAAAATGAAGTGTCACTGAAAATGGGCAGTATCTGCTGATTTTCGTAAAAAATAAAGTGATTGACAGGCCCTGGTCACCCTGCTGCTGGTTTTGCTACACAGACTGCTGCAGGCATTTTGCAACACAGATAATAGAAGTAGGATGTGGCCCTCTCGCTTCCAAGTATTACTGGTTGGTTATCAAAAATCCCCTAAAGAAGGTCATTAGACTAAAATGCAACATGTTCTTGATAGATCTTCAAATACTCTTATGGACCCATTACCCTCATTTGTCCTTAAACTGTCATATTCTGAGAAATTAGCAGGCTCAAAGACACAAAGTCAACCCTCAGAACTAATTCAGGAATAATACCTGAACCTTCTGATTCCCAATCTAATGTTCTTTCCATATGAACTTTGGCTTTAAATACAAAATTAGTCCTGATTTGTTTTTATGCTGTCTTTCCATTAGATACATCTATATAATATATACAATACAATATAATATCTATAATAATACCTATATAATATGATTTTGTTTGGGGATTTTAAAAATTTCTTTCTTTTTTATTTTTTAAGAAACATTTTCAGTTGATCTGGATCATGGAGATTCAAGTTTGCTTCGAGTAAAACCCGTGAATCATAAGGATGACAGTTTTGTATGTGCTAATGAATGGAGTATGAATGAAGCAAATGTGGCTTGCAGGCACCTTGGCTTTGAGTTGTAAGTTTGGGAAATTTATCTCTGGATAACTGCAGGGAATTTGAAAAAGCAGTGATGCTTAAATAGGTGCCAGTCACAGCCAACAGTTAAGACAGAAAACTCATGAATGATGTATTGGCTACAAATTTCTGATAAAACTTCTTAACCTGAGAGTGAAAGCAAAAACACAGTTTTCTGTGTTCTGTTACAGGCTACAACTATACAAACCATAACTGCTTTGCTTTAAAATAAAGATGAAGACCAATGTGGAGGTGTTCTCTCAGGCCTGTGTTAGGGAAAATGCATAGATGGACCACCCCCAGATAGCTCTGAGCAATGACCAGTGGGCAGAGAAAGGTTTGTCAGGACAACTGACAACAGGGTACAGCTGTTTTGCCACTTGCATTAGTCAGACTAACAAGGAGCAAAACATGGGGTTTTTTTTCTTCACCCCACATGCCACTGCTTTCTCTGGCCCCAGGGATGGCTGAAGTCACACACAGCTTGATCTTTTCCCTGTGACTACAATGATAACCCAAGTTGCATATTCAGCTCCTCATAAAAGTACCTCTGTATCCTGTACCTAATAATTTTACACCTATACATGTAATTTAACTTCCCAACCTTACAAAAAAAAAAAAAACAAACCTAAAAAAAGTCCCCAGAAAACCAAAACTGCTATTGCAGTGCCTCTCTAGGTGAGAAGGAAGTGTTTCCTAGTCCTGATCACTGTATCTTCAGATAGCAGAGAAGGGTTTGCCCTGGACAGACCATTCAGACCTGGAGTCTCATTGAAAGCCTCCCTAGTTACTTATTTACTCAATCCATATTTCTTCAAGGTAGGGGATACGTGCACTGTTAGGAGAATACTGCTCAGGTAAAACCAAGAAATAGAAAATTTATCAATCCCAGCTTTGCAGTGGCCTGAGCTTCCTGAACATTCAGTGGTTTGGATGGGAACAAGGATAGCTGACTCCATGCAGGATGGTTTCCAAGTTACGGCTCACCCCTGTCCACAGAGAGATAGAGATCTGTGCTTACAAGTTTTGCTACATAAGGAGACTTTTCTATCCATCATGATACACAGTGGCTTTCATAGACCTACATATGCATTTGGGGACAGTTCTATGGAGCAGCCTGCAAAAATTAGCACTTCTTCCAAAGTAAAACTGTTTACCCCTAGACAACTCCAGTTGCTAGTCTGCTCTTTTTCTTAGCCATGACCAAAATTCTCTGACACTGAGGAAAACTGTATAAATTCTAAACAATAAAAGCAGTGGACAATCCATTGTGAAATTATATAATTTGTTATTATTACTATCTTCACAGAGGTGCTGAATATTACCAAGCCACTTCCAGCATCAAAGAATCTCCCTTAAAATCATTAAACTGTCTGCAAATAAGTTGCAGGGGCCTAGAGACAAGTCTTGCTGAATGTCACATAGAAATGAAATCAAGATATAGTGATGAAGGACTGGTTAGCCTGCAATGCCATGAAAATCTCAGAGGTTAGTAGATCTTTTTAGTTTAATATCTATTTGGTGTTTTTATATTTTAAGTACATTTTAAATAATGAGGATCCAGTTTGCTGAACTCTAAGCCACAGAAAACCTACACTGAAACCTTTTGATTATTTTAAATCATCATTTTGCAGACT